TGTAAGTCAAGATCAACCCAGTGAAGAAGCGAGAGCTATGCGCACAATATCTACCTGCCCAGTCCTCTCAAGTGTAATCTCGCCTCTAAACAAGTACATGGACCTCCCATCCTTATAACCTCCACTGCTAAACTATCTGCATCTAGCTAATCTAGAGGGATGTTTTGGGAAAGGAGAAGAACATTAATCCTTATAGAGAAAAGATAACAAAGATCCCAGATAAATAAGTATTTCTTATGCGGTACACGACTCACTCATGCGTCTGTAGCCTTAGATATTTTATTTCTGTGGTGGGGAATGTTTTGGGGGGTACTCAGTAACCTAGGTCATTGCTACTCGTTGCCTTTTGTACTCGGACGGTCCCTTAGATGAGTCAGTGAAGTCTCTGCCCTTCAGTGTCCCCAATACAGTATGTTAGTCAAGTGTGGATGGAGACAATACATATCGGTCTTTGAGCCATTGCCTAGGCCACAAATGGTTTACACCACATCTTCATTTCCAATCACCTAATTCTAATTGAATATATTTATAATTGGCCTCATAATGTAGAGTAGATTTGATGGCTGAACGTCATATACAATAATTCACAGCCAATCTCAAATCTTTGATCCCAGTCGTTGGTGTCTCAAATCGGTATTACAGGAACCTTGGAAATCACTGATGTTATGCGCTTTATAGGAAATCAATTACACTGGATAGGGCGAAGAATAGATTAAAATATCGATGCATCATAAAACCGACCAATGCTCACTCTTCACTTAATACTATTAAGTGCACTCAGTCACGAGGTCCTGAAATGCTATGTATGTAATGCCTCATCAGTACACTTTTATTGAACTATCTTGACACTCTCAGTGCCTATTTGCTGTTTAGGTACAATGTCACAAAACATATTTAATTACTGTCCCATATCCGAGAGAACTGGAACTAAGAGGTATTCGTAGTCTACTAAAGTAGTTAGGCACTCTGTGTAGCTTCTTCACTGGTGAGATAGAGGGCGACAGTGGAACTACTGACACTAATGAGCATTCAGTTTATGGATATGTTCTTTCATACGTAAACTCCTCAGTTAAATTTAGTCAATAGGATAGTAATAAGTGATGAGAACAAGATGTGAGCTACCAGTGTCTCCATAAATTCACACAGTCCAGTCATTTATGTGCCTGTAGCGCTCAGACCTTGTTATGTTATGTGTTTCATGGATTACCCCATCATATGTCACTAAAATGTTGCGGCCATATCAAAGAAAGTAAAATGTTTGTAGAGATAATGTTTAATTCTACAATGAAGCTCTGGAGAAAGTTCCATTCGATTATTCAGGGGCTTGGTGCGGGAAGGGAGTATCACAGACCGTTCTGCTCGTTAATCCTCTAATGAACCAGTTAATAACACCTACATGCACTAGAAACATAGTTTGTGAAATGGCTGTAGCTATTCCTGCAGCAGCTCATTCCTAGGGCCATAATACATCTCATATGGGTACTTAATGAACCTCATGATGATTAAGAACAGTTAGACAAGCTATAAAAAGCCTGTAGTACTCCTGAATTGACTCTATTGTGAGAATCCTAATAAGGCTCCTAGAGAGCTTTCACTGCCTACTTAAAACCTTTCTTAATAACATAGAGATGGAAAAAAAGGCGTTCCTTACTATTTGTTGTTTATTGTTTAGGGACTACTTATTTTAATGTAAACCATTATTACACTATTTGTAGAGCCTATACATATCGATCCGAACCAACCACTGTTAATGTGAAGGAAAAGCCCATCAGATAACATGAGATTCATAGCATCGAGATCAAAGAGGAATTTAAAGTGGTCAATAGCAATGAAGTTTAAACTATATGATTCTATGAGGTAACTCTCTTGGGAAGTATATGTCCTCAAGAAGTCTTATGTGAAGGATCTTTAATGCATTATTCTCTATATTGACTCTTCTGAGATTTGTGCATATTGTAACCTTACCTTCCATTCTTACCTGTGAATATGAGTTCCTTATTCATAGGAATGTCTTTTATGAACTGGAAGAAGTATATATGCATTACTGCTTTTTTGTCGATGGTCTCTGGAAATGTATTTTAACATATGTATTGAGTACTAATTATGGTCCAGATCGATATCAATCAGATTAAAATATTATGTCATGGTAAAGAACTGTCTAAAGAACCAATAGAAGAAGCTGTGAACTGGTGCATGGAGGTTCAAAAACTCATTCGTCCTTTTCTAGTATTACCATTGGAACACAGGAGTCAGTTAGCTTTGTAGTTGGCCCAGGCTAGAGTGGGGGGTCTAGTGGCTCGTTGGCATCGCAGTCCAATGTGTCTCACCAACAGAAGGCAAAAGGGCTGTCCTGGGATACAAGCCATAAATGTCCATCAACCGCATGCCCTCATGTTTGAGCCACTCTACAAACGTAGCTGGACTACAGGCTATTGTAACTCTCACCCAATTAAGTCGATTATGCATGTTTTTTTTATGGTGTGATGTCTCTGATGATGAATCAATTTGATTTTTTGGATATATCGTTAAGGCCAGGCTTGTCAATCTTCAGTTCCCCACAGGGGCCTCCTCATCCCCTGTTTGATGTGGAACACTATCGCTTTGCTTCACTCGTTTATGTACCTGCCTATGCCTCTGAAAGCACTGAATTTACAGTTTTCTGGAAATTAATTATTAAATTTATGGTAATGGTTCAGCCCTTCCTTCTCTCTTTGTCATCTGGCTTGATTGAATTAACTCAATGGTTGTGAAATACCCCAATTAATATCTATTCATTTTTTTAAATTTTAAGTATGTATGACCGTAGACCTGTAATAGGTTTATACACTGCAGTGACTGTTGTGTTTAGCGAACTCTATCACTACGTCGAGCAAATCGTCATGAGTCTTCTAGCTTATTTCACGGCAGTATTGTGCTAGGATTACTAGACGTGACGGCCACTGTAGTCCCAGCTACCCGGGAGGCTGAGGCAGAAGGATCACTCGAGCCCAGGAGTTTGAGGTTGCACTCTGTCTCAAAAAAAAAAAAAAAAAAAAGAGAAAGGCTCTTGGTAGCTTTTCTGGTATTACTTATGAAAAGGCATTACTTACATGTTCAGAAGATTGTGAGAAACTTAGTAGGGTTAGAATATTATAGTACAAAGCTGGCTACGAATATTCTCCTTGAGTATTCTTTTAGGAGGAGTTGAAGGGCCTAGCTTGACCAAGATGCTTATCTCAGAGAGAAAAGAGGGGGAGGAGTAGGAAGAAAGTGGAAGACAGGGTAGCACTCACTCAGAGAAGATGGTCAGTGTCTCTGGGAGTCATCCAGAAGACCAGGCTTTCTGATAGTGTCTGCTTTGTACAGTTTTCAACTGTTCCCAGAGCCTTTCCCTTTTTTTCTTTTCTTTTTTTTTTTTTTTTTGAGACAGTCTCTCACTGTTGCCTGGGCGAGTGCTGTGGCCCGTGGTGTCAACCTAGCTCACAACAACCTCAAACTCCTGGGCTCAAGCAATCTTCCTGCCTCAGCCTCCTAAGTAGCTGGGACTACAGGCACACACTACCATGCCTGGCTAAGTTTTTCTACTTTTAGTAAAGACTCAGTCTCGCTCTTGCTCAGGCTGGTCTTGAACTCCTGAGCTCAAGCAATCCTCCCACCGTGGCCTCCCAGAGTGCTAGGATCACAGGCATGAGCCACTGGGCCCAACCTTTGCCTTTACACACACTCAGGTGTGCTTTGAGTGGGTTGCTCTGGCTCAGATAGCTTTTTTACATATCTGTCAATTGCCATGGACATTTTCATTCTCCCCTTGTTTGGAAACCACACATATAGTAGCTATACAACTACTCACCTCTTGGTGACTAGTTACAACTGCCTTCTGTTACAACTGCCTTCATTGAAAGGCCAGCCAGACATTGGGCATTGAGGACACATGTTCTTCACAGTGAACTTGGGCTGTGCTAGTGTGGGCAGCAATCTGAATTGCCAGTCCTCTGAAAATGGCTGGGAGGCCATTGTCATCATGCCCTTGACATGAGATATGCCCACTTTCTTCCCCCTTTAAGAGCATTTGCTTTCCCTGCCAGGAGGTGGCACCATTGTCTTTGGAGTTCTGACCAGTGCCAGCCAAATGGTTTCCAGAAGTTACTCTCATTATGCACTGATAAGATTTCTGCCATTATTTTGCCATTTATTGATATCTCTTGGTTTCTGAACATTATGCCAAATTTTTGGATACAGTAGTGAATATGACACAACTTCATGCCCTTGAAAAACCCATGTTGTGGTTGGGGAGACAGATGATTGCAGTATAAGGTGATACATGTCATAATACACTGAGATTAGGTTTTCTAAACAGAAGGAGAAAATGTTTCAGGTACAGGAAACAGCAAGCACAAAGATACAACGTTAGGAAAGGAAATTATATGTCCAGGAAATAATGAGAAATTCAGTGCATTTAGAGTGTGATCTAGAGTGTTCCTTGTGAAGGGAGTGGTCAGAGAAAAATTTGGAGAGTTATGTTGGAAATTTGGACTTTGTCCTTTAAACAGTAGGAAGCCAATAAAAATTCCTTAAGCAGGAGAGTGTGCCATTAGATTTGGTTTTTTAAACAGATAAATTTGACAGCAAAGTGGAAACTGAACTGGAATGGGGAGAGGCTTAGGGTAAGTTAGAAGGTGGTCACCCTGGTGAGGGCAGTAACATCGGGAAAGAAAAGACTGGTTCAGGAGATATCTTATAGACAAGATAGATGAGACTGTTCTCTGTTGTTCTGTGATAGTCTGCCGGCCTCCAGTGAGTAATTAGGCAAGGGATGTAAAACATTTGACTTTTTCCTTCAGGATCAGGTAGGGCCTGCTGATAAGGAGTTCTGATGTGAAGGGAAGACTTTCCATTCATTCTACAAGAAAAAGCCTTATCCTTGGAAGTGAAGGGTCAGCAAAGGTCATAGGAAAATAGGAAATTTCCCTTCTTATTCTGCACTACTTTTCTCTGACTTTTCATTTACCAATCTGCCTTAGGAACAGCGACATCTTACACATGAAAATGTACAACGCAAGCAAGCAAGGACAGGAGAAGAGCGAGAAGAGGAGGAGGAAGAGCAGATCAGTGAGAGTGAAAGTGAAGATGAAGAGAATGAGATCATTTACAACCCCAAAAACCTGCCCCTTGGCTGGGATGGCAAAGTAAGTCCCAGCACTCCCCATTCCCCATATTGGAAGCAGGTGCAGACCTTAGTAGACTAATGCTGTTTCTTACTTTTTATTTCTTCTTTAGCCCATTCCCTACTGGCTGTATAAGCTTCATGGCCTAAACATCAACTACAACTGTGAAATCTGTGGAAACTACACCTACCGAGGACCCAAGGCCTTCCAACGGCACTTTGCTGTAAGGAATTCAGAACCATTTCTCCTGAGAATTGAAGTAGAAGCATGAGACTTTTAGAGAACAAGATAGGAGCAACCTGAGAGGACCACTAGTATCCAGAGGTGAAGGGAATCAGAGAAGGATGGGTCTAAAAGCACATTCATAGCATTTGGCCTTTGGCACCAGTCCTGCTAGTCTTGAGTACCTGAGAATTTCTGGAGGCATTCCTACCACCCTGCTATTTTAACTTCATTTTGTTTTTCTCCTGCTTACTCTTTTTTTGAGACAGAGTCTCACTCTCTTGCCTGAGCTAGGGTGCTATGGCATCAGCCTAGCTCACAGCAACCTCAAACTCTTGGGCTCAAGCGATCCTTCTGCGTCAGCCTCCCAAGCTGGGACTACAGGCATGTGCCACCATGCCCGGCTAATTTTTTCTCTATATTTTTAGTTGGCCAATTACTTTCTATTTTTAGTAGAGATGGGGTCTCACTCTTGCCCAGGCTGGTTTCGAACTCCTGACCTTGAACAGTCCTCCCACCTCAGCCTCCCTGAGTGCTAGGATTATGGGTGTGAGCCACCATGCCTGGCCCCTGCTTGTTCTTTGGTCTTTCTTCCAACATCTTAGCCTAATCTCTGATTCCTTGGTCATTTCTCCTCCCATTGCTAGTAGTCAGGACCAAAAAAGGAGCTGACTACCTCCTTTGGGTCTTATATGGGCCTTTACCTCTTTGAAAAAAAGAAACTAATGCACCGTCTTTAGCAAGCTATTCTTGAGAAAAGGCATCATCTGGGTGGTACTCCAATAGGTAGGCTCACCCTTCTTTTGTTTCTGCCTTCAATTCTCAATACTTGGAAAGAAATTTTACAGAATGGGAAAAACTTACCAAGGATGATGAATCTATGTGAAACTCTTCTCTCCCTCTCTTAGACATACATATTACTAGTTGATCCTGGGTCTTTTTTGCTGAGCTCCTGAGTGAGCTCTGAATCTTGCTCAACACTACGTCCAATGATTGGTGATGGCATCCAGGATAAACTCCATACCATTTATCATCCCTCGGCCAAAACTGTCATGACATCAGTATCTCTCCCTCCCCTGTCTCACATCCTTATTCCTGATAAACAATCTCCTTTAGTTACAAAGGTGATGCTGACCTGCCATCAGAACCTTTATTCATGCTGGTGGTCAGAGTTGCTGGGGCTATATCAGGTTCTCCCATAATATGGGAGGTGACTGGTTAGAGTTGTGTTTTTCTGTGGTCATGACCCAGAGATTGTGTCCGTAAGACCACTAGATCTAGAATCTAGGTTTTATAAACCAGCCCAGTGAGGCAAACAATGCATTGCTGCTTTGAAATACTAGCCTCTTTTCAATCACAGCCAGCTATTTACGTAAACCACAAAAGGAATGCTGCCTGTAGGTAGAATAGAATGGTGTTAGTGTTCTGTGTTCAGGTTTTCCCATTTCACATGGTCCTTTTGCTTCTCTCTCCTTCCAGGAATGGCGTCATGCTCACGGCATGAGATGTTTGGGCATCCCAAACACTGCCCACTTTGCTAATGTGACACAGATTGAAGATGCTGTCTCCTGTAAGTAAGCTTTATTTACTATTTCCTGGGCTAGACCAAGTAGCCACTCCTACAGCTCAGTGTCCCAATACCCTGGTGTATCCAGGCCCAAGAGCAGTCATGGATATGTAAAAGCTAGACCAGTCATCTAATTATTGCATTTTTAAGGGGAATTAGTTAGCAGCTAATTGTTTCTCCCTTGAGAAGAGCCCTATGCTGAGTGTAAACCAGGGTTTAAACCTGGGTCTGTGAACTCCCCCAGCAAGATTTTGAGTGAATGGTTGTATGTATGTTTTTTTTTTAATTGATTTTAATATGTTAAATGCTGATATAAAGGAAAAAAGAGAAGTGGCTTCAGTGGAGCACCTATATGCCAGGTTATAGAGCAAAGCATTTTCTCATATATTGTCTCATTTACTATTTCTTTACCCATGTTAGGCTTCAACTTTATATGATATTTCTTCTAATCTTAACAAATTTAGGGATTGTTTTACTTGGTGGGAAAGGTAGAAACATAGGAACCAAGTAGTTCTGCCTGTTTGCCGTCATCTGTTGATATTATATCATCTTCCCCCTCTAGCAGCAGACCTGTCTTATGTATTCCATGCAGCCATTTGTTCTAAGAGTTCACTTTCCTAACACCATTCTTAAAGATTCCAGTCATTCTTTCCCTGGTTTTGTATCTGTTTTTTTCTTCTGTATGCGTCTGATCACTCCCTCTAAAGCTATGGTGGTTTTTACAGATGTCTTCACCTTTTCATCTTCATGGGATAATTTGTTATTGAATTATAAGAAATTTTAATATCTCCACTGTCTATTGAACAGTCTTATCTTTCAGACTCTTTGGCCATGAAATTTCACCTTTTTCCCCACAGAAATTTCTAAAATATTTGCACTAGACTAGTATTGTTTATAGGTGGCTGAGAACCAAAATTCCATTTGGGGGCAAGCAAGAATCTCAAAGGCAGAGTCATCCAGGGGGATCCTCACGGGGGCTGGTAATGGCTGGGTCATACTGATTGCTGCTGATTTCTTGTCCTGCAGTGTGGGCCAAGCTGAAACTGCAGAAGGCTTCAGAGCGATGGCAGCCCGACACTGAGGTGGGTGCTGATGTGGACAGTGTTGGGGATGATGTCAAGTGACAGCTCTCTCACCAGAATGGTCCCTGCTGTACTGGAGTAGCGAGTATAATGTGACAATATCTATAAATTGACTCTTGATATGTAAGCCTAATTTATTTGTGATATTTGTCACACTATAATTTTTTTTAAAAGTATGGTATGCTTTATAAATTTGTGTGTCATCATCATTGTGCAGGGGCCATGCTAATCTTCTCTGTATCCGATTTTAGTAGATGTGCTGCTGAAGTGAGCACCTGTTAGACTTTAATCTGTGTCTCAAGGCAGGTTGTATTCTCCCATTGAAATGTTGAAGTGACAGGCGGGAGTACCCAATCTCTTGTCCTGCCATGGGGATTTACAGACTAAAAGCTTGAGAATCCTTATCATATATCACATCCCCTTTGAGGAAAGCATCTAAGAAGAGATGATCCTCACATAGGGATCCTCCTTGTTGGTCCTGAGATAGTCATGTCAAACAGCAGGTTTCAGAGATGAGGAATGACATATATGTTAAGTATGGTAGCAACTCACCACATGTCCCACAGTGACTGGCAATAGACTCCCTTTCTTTTAGGTTAGTGGTTTTTATATAGATAGATAGATTGATTTTTTTTTTTTTTTTTGTAAGCAGCAAAACCCTTTTACCAGCTGTAATACAGAACTCTGATATATAAAATACAATAAAGAAAACTGCTCTGGAAGTAGGGAAGCTCGGCCTTCCTTTTAACTCCTGCAGAAACCTAGAGTTCTTCGAAACCACTTGAAAACTGCTGTCTTAGGCTTTCTCAACTAGGGTTCCTCATCTTAAACACAGAAAAGTAATTTGAACAATTTCCTCAGATACTCTAAGGATAGGTCATGAATGGTACCATTCTAGATGTCTAGGACAGAAGTAAATTCATTACACACAGTGCCTGCCTTAGGGGCACAGGGCTTCTCTGGTGGAACCTCAGTGGGGAAAGGCTGTCTTAGATAAATGCCAATCTCCGAGTACCAATGGAATCTCTGGTGTGCCATGGAATCAGGCCAGGGTGAGCTCAGGTACCCAGAGATTGGTTCCAAGCATTCCTCCTAGGGGGTGTAGCTAACAAAGTATACCGCTTCCTTTTTAGGAAGAATATGAAGACTCCAGTGGGAATGTTGTGAATAAGAAGACGTATGAGGATCTGAAAAGACAAGGACTGCTCTAGTGTTCAGGGATGTAGCTCATCTTTTGGGCTTGGCCAGGCTCCCCTGAGATCTGCATTTTCTATTTCCTTCAACCAAATGCTCAGAGACCCTTTACTATGTAGTCTTATGGTCTAGCAGCATGCATCTTGTAGAAACAAGGCATGCTGACAAAAAGCAGGGTTGAGATGTGTTTTATCTTTGTTTTATATTAAAAAAGATTCTGCCGGAAAATAAAACCATCCCTTGTTTTGAATGTGTCTTGTTCTGAAGGCCCAGGGTTATGGACTAACTCAATCCTTCAGGTCTTAATGCCTCCCTGGCTCTTTCTCACCAACTTTGGTAGCAGCTAGGATTTAATGAACACCTGTTATGCTGTAAGTTAAGTTAGGTAGATCTGACCTGACCTCTTTCCCTGTCCTCACAACAGCCACATCCCAAAATAAGCATTACCCCAGGATGAGCCCTGCCCTTAGTTGAGTCAGCCATTGATGCACACACTAGGGAAAGATATGGAAGGTGGGCCAGGGCTCCTCCTAAGGGCTAAGTATGGCACCAAGGTTTGCCTTTTCTGTTGCCATAAAGAAAGGAGTTGGGTTGTTTGGGAATGGACCTGCAGCCTTGCCCCTTCTCTGTGCCTCAGCTGCCCAGCACTCAGTGGCACTAGGACCTGTAGTCCAGCCACATGCCTGTAGTCCAGCTTCTCGGGAGGCTGAGGCAGAAGAATCACTTGAGCCCACAAGTTTGAGGTTGCTGTGAGCTAGGCTAACACCACAGCACTCTAGCCTGGGCAACAGAGTGAGACTCTGTCAAAAAAAAAAAAAAAATACCAACTCAGAGTAAAGTGCCATAGGAGTGAGGGTGGTGAAACCTTACTGCCATGGAAATGACAGCAGAGACTCCACACACTTGCTATTTCAGAATGAGTCTTTGGTGAGCCTGTCGGCCCATTTCTTCTACAAGATCCCTATTTGACTAGAAGTGGCTAATATCCATGTGTTCTCCACCCCCCCCCCCAGCCAAGACCTTGGGTAGAATTGAGCAGCTGCCCCAGCATCTGGATCTGATGTCCCAAATGGGGAGAACTGGGGAAGCCAAGGAGCCACTAATCTGCCCATAAGCACAATCATCTGAAGGCCAGGGCCTGCTCCAGGACAGATTCTGCAGAGGCCCTTTTGCCCCCTCAGTACTCAGACCTCCTTTCAGTTTTCTTGTTTTTAATATATATACTTTTAAAAAATCCCAACTCTGGAACAGGCCATCTGCCTCACACTTAACTATTGCCCTAGTTATTTCCATGACAGTAAGGTTTCACCACCCCCACCCCTATGGCACTTTACTCCCGGTTGGTCTTTTCTTTTTTCTCTTCTCTTCTCTTCTCTTCTCTTCTCTTCTCTTCTCTTCTCTTCTCTTCTCTTCTCTTCTCTTCTCTTCTCTTTCTTTCTTTCCCTTTCTTTCTTTCCTTTGTTCCTTCGTTTCTTCTTTCCTTCCTTCTTCTTCTTTTCCTTCTTGTCTTCTTCCTCTTTCCTTCCTTCTTTCTTTCTTCTGTTCCTTCTTCCCCTCCTTTCCTTCTTCTTCCTCTCCTTCCTTCCTTCTTCCTTCCTCTCCTCCTCCTCTTCCTTCTTCCTTTCTCCTTTCCCTCCTTCCTCCTTCTCGCCGTCCCTCCCTCCCTCTCTCCTCCATCCCTCTCCTCGCCTCCCTCCTTCCTTCCTTCCTTCCTTTTCCTTCCTTCCTGTCCTCCTCCTCCTTCCGATTTCTTTCTTCTTTCTTTCTTTCTTTCCAGTCTCACTCTGTTTCCCAGGTAGATGCCATGGCATCAGCCTAGCTCACGAGGCAACCTCAAACTGGGCTCAAGCGATCCCTTCTGGCCTCAGCCGTCCAAGTACGCTGGAACTACAGGCATGGCCACCATGCCCCAGCTTCAAATTTTTTCTATATATATTTAGTTGCAATTAATTCTATATGTTTAGTATAGAGACAGGGTCTCACTCTTGCTCAGGCTGGGTTTGAAACTGCCTGCACTCGAGCAATCGCCCGCCCGGCCTCCCGCAATGGTGGCGTAGGATATACAGGCATGACCACCACGCCCAGGCCTTGCGGGGTCTGGTATTTATTCTTCCTGGTTCAACCGGCAACTCCACACGTTTGTCCTTTGGGCTCTCCATTGCAGTTGCTTAAAACCCAGTTGGACAATCCCTCCAGCGGCTTTAATCTGTCTGGGAAGCAGAGTGAGTGGAGAATAAATTAAAACCTAATATAGACCAACCAAGAAACTGATGACTAAAAACTGGCTCAGAGTGACAACAACATTGCCATCTGGAAAGAGGGTTAAAGCTGAAATGAAATGGTGGGAGGACAGTCTCCCCCAACCTTCTGTTGGAAGCGCAGTCAACTGGGCATCCAAGAATGCAGCTGCTACGTTTACACAGGACTACAACATACACTCAGAGGACCACCGTTTTTGAGGGGTGGGGTGCTTGGGACTCCAGGCCTGCGTGCTTACCTGTCACACGCAAAGCCTTGTTCATTTGTTGACGGTCATATCATTTCAAAATTTTTTTATGCCTTCCATGTGCCAGGGTAGAAGCTAGGATGGCAAACAATTGAGAATTAACTGGCAGTATAAGATGGTGGGAACAGAAGCCGAGAAGGTAAGAAGCCCAGCTGCCTTCATGAGGCAGGCCTGAAAGAGCATGTGGGCAACTCATCCCCCCTCCTCCAAGTGGCCCAGGCAAACTCACATTCAGAAGTGGTTTCGTGAACTTTCATGGAGCCTGCTATAGGAAGAACAGGGGTTTCTGCTCAGCCTCCTGACCCAGGCTGGGGAAGGAGTGACAAGATTCCGTTCTCTTGGTTTAGAGATGAGTAGTTCTTAATCTTCATTAGGATCATGGGATTCCTTTGGGAATACAAAGATCAATTGTGGACGTTCTCCCTAGAAAAATGCACATACTTTTTTTTCCTTTTTAGACAGAGGGTCTCACTATCGTATCACCCAGGCTAGGGTACATGGTGTCAGTTATAGCTCACTGCAACCGTTGAATCTCCTGGGCTCTCAAGTGAATCTTCCTGCCTCCAAGCCTCTTGGAGTAGCTAGTACTACAGGCACATGCCACACGATACGCTGGTTTAATTTTGTACGAGAGAGGAGGATCTCTATGTTTGCTCAGGCTGGTGCAGAGATCCTGGCCTCAAGTAATCCTACTTGCCTTGGCCTTCCGAAAAGGTGCTGAGATTAAAGAGCTGCAAGTCACTAGCACCAGCCTGCATACATATTTTATACGCGGTTTCAGGGGTTTCACGAATTTCCACGAAGTCGCAGTCCTTGGGTTCCTGAGTCTTCCTTTCATTTTTTTATTTATGTTTTTATTTTTTTTATTTTAGCGTATTACTGGAGGGTAACAGTGTTTAAGGCTACGATATTGCCATAACCCCCCTACCCCCTCGAGTCAGAGCTTCACAGCTAGTACCATCCCCCCAAACTTTTGACATCGTACTCATTTGGTGTTTAGTATAATACCCATCCACCTCCTCCCCCCTTCACCCGCTGCCCGACGCAACCCGATAAATGTTATTCTATATGTCCACCTTAGGTGTTGATATGTTAATACCAGTTTGCTGTGGGTGAGTACATGCGGTGCTTGTTTTTCCATTCTTGAGATAACTTCATGCTTAGTAGGAAAAATTTTTTTTTGGGCGGGGTTCCACCTCTATCAGGAATAATGCAAGAGGTGTATTGATCACCATTGTTTCTTAAAGCTTTGATAGGTGCTCCATGGGGTAGTTACATATTACCACATGTTTATTAAATCCAGCTATGAATGTGATGGGCCACTTTGGTTGTTTCCACAGCTTTGCAATTGTGAATTGTGCTGCTATAAACATTCGAGTGCACCTTTTATTTTTTTATTCTTTTTAACAGAACACTTCCCAACTTAGGTTCCTGAGTCTTCCAAGAATCTCTCTTTTAGACTTGGAGTCTGAACCTCTGCCAGGGCACTTACTGCTGAGAACAGTTGATGCAGCTAGCTCTTCAAGGAGTAAAACTGCAGGAAGCATTTGGGGAGTTGTTCCCAGGTCGACCCCAGACTGGTGCTGCTGAATGCAGAGGCTGAGGAGCCCTCCCAGGAGCAGGACTATCCTCACTCCTTACCTCTCAGAGGAGAGCGAATGAATCTGTGTGGCCTCAAATGGTTATCCCTTTCCTCTCCATTTTCTCCTCCCCTTCCTGGGGTCAGCTTGTGCTGGAAGGCTTTGCAAAGGGAACACCCTAAAGGTAACCAGTGTGTTGAGGAAGAGTTCTGAGATTTTCCTCCTCCCTCTGTATTTTTTTTTTTTTAATCCTTGGGACGATAGCTACCTCTCCCCTCATCTTTTGGGTCATACTGTCTGCCTCACCTCAACATTCTCAGGGTGGGAACCTATGACCTTTTCCAGTATCAGCCAGAAGAGTCCTCCCATTTTATGCGGGCTCGGAGGACACTGGTCTCCCTTCCTGTTCTCAGAGTCCTCTCCACCTGCCATGTTTCTGATCCAGACAAATATGGCACCTCCCAGTGGGATGTTGGGATGGGGGTCTTTTGATTTGCCCAAGCTGCTAGCTGGCTTTGTGTCCTCCCTCCGACTACAGTCTGGACATCATCTGTGCTTCCTTCTTTTGCCTGTGGTCCCTGTTTATGTCCAGTGGCAGCAACATCAGAGGGAACTCCCAGGGCTGACAAATGACTGGAGGGGAGAGCAGGCAGCTGCCAGCTTCCAGGAACTGCACCTGCAGCTTCGCTGTCTTGTACATACACACTCGCTGCCCCTGCACTTTCAGGTGAGCTGCTAGGTCTATAGCTGGGATGGTGTGGGCACAGGGAATACTGGGAATATTCTCGCTAGCCTTGGAGGAGTGCACAGACTAAAGTATATGGGCAAGAAGTTTGAATTAATACAGCCTAGGGTATCCACCTAGGCTTCGCGCAGCCTTCTGATTCTGCTCAATGTCTGTCGGTCCACCCTGTCATATTCCTGAGTTTGTCCCTCCAGTCTCATCTGCCCAAACCAGGGAAGAAGAAAGGGGCTTGTGTAGGAGGCCTGGGCTCTTTCTTTTCACAAGGCTACCGGGACCTGGGTAGAACCTTCAGCCCTTGACCTATGAGCTTTTAGAGACTGAGGTCCCCTTGTACAGGTGCTGGCTGGGTGAAAACTGTTTCTTGAGCATAGTGTTGGAGGGGAGGGAACAACAGGTTAACCCCAGGCCAGAGGGGGTCC